GTTTGTTAGTTAGTACCCACCAACCACCACCCAACCACCAACCACCAACCACCACCCACCACCCCCCACCCACCACCCCCCACCCCCCACCCACCACCCACCAACCACCAACCACCGACCACCACCCACCAACCACCAACCACCAACCACCACCCACCACCCACCACCCACCACCCACCACCCACCACTCACCATCACCAACCACCAAGAGAGAAAGAGAGAAAGAGAGAAAGAGAGAAAGAGAGAAAGAGAGAAAGAGAGAAAGAGAGAAAGAAAGAAAGAAAGAAAGAAAGAAAGAAAGAAAGAAAGAAAGAAAGAAAGAAAGAAAGAAAGAAAGAAATAACGAAAACAAAGAAAGAAATAAAGAAATAAAGAAAGAAAGAAAGAACGAAAGAAAGAAAGAAGGGAGGCGAAGACAGGACAGAAAGAAAGAGATAATGACGAAAAAAAAGAGAAACACTGAAAAGGAAGAAGAAGAGAAAACAGAGTCAAGAGAGGAAAGAGAAAGAGAACTATAGTTTGTATTTTTTTGAAACTTCCGCCCACCGGCTTCGCCGGCTCTACTGGTACGGTATACACTCTAGCAGCTCCAGCTCGAAAGTCGCAATTGTTCAGCACAAGCGAGAACACAAGGTTCATTTTGGCTGCTCCAGTTGGAAAGTCGCAACTTTTCAGTACAAGTGTAATATACGAAGTACACTTTGGCAGGTCCGGGTCCAAAGTCGCAACTTTTGAGTACAAGTGTGCTAGAGTCTATAATGCAGTATACAAAGTACATTTCGGCAGCTCCGGCTGGAACATCGCATCCTTTCAGTACAAATTTAGTGCACAAAGTACATTTTAGCAGCTCCAGGGCAGCTGGTTGGATTCGGCATGGAGGCCAATGAGTTGGGTATCGGTTGAGCATCGGTTTGGGTATCGGTTTGGGCCCTGCAAATTTATGATTTATTTTTCTTAGCATCAGTTTGCAGTGCTCCGGGCCTGCAAAGAAAGATATGGGACGGACCCTTACATAACGAAAAGGCGCAGGGTTTCTTTTTCAACCCACCTGGGCGAATTTCGCATGTGCCATCGTGGCCCAACATGAAAACAAAGCAATCAACAACCCGAAAGGAACACACAAAACAACGCATAGAAAGTGTTTCAGGGGGGATCGACCAGCAAACGCTTGCAGTCTCAATCGAGATTCTGCTCACGCAGCTCGAAAGGTCCCCTTTGGCCGTGTGTCTGTAGTACCAGGCCATCCCTATATATTTATATATATACACATACACATATACATATTTGAAAAATAATATGATGCTGTTTTCTCTGTAAGAGGACTGAACTTGGTGTCATCCAAATTTGGCCAAACCCTCATCCCGCATAACTCTACTTGAATCAACATCTGAGCATGGTATCAACGTCAGGAAGCTCGGTGATGACTGGCTCCAACTTGTTTTGGTGACAAACCATCGGCGAAGGCCCTTTGCTTGCCTGAAACATCTTTTGTGCGAGGGGGGTCTAATAGAATCCGAGGATTCCCCAAAAGACTCGAGAGTCTCCTGTGACTCCCTGAAAACCCCTGCGACACATACACACTGTCATAGAGGCTGACTCTCCATCTGTTTGACCCCGTTTCCCCTGGCTTTAGATGGTCTTCTGAAAAGAAGGATCCCGAAAAAAATGGGCCACGATTATCCCGAGGTTCCTTGGAAGGCACCAGGTTCAATCGGAGCGAAGTCAGCTGTGATATTTGCCATCAACTTAGTGTTTTCCGTTTGACACCCGTTGAAAATATCGGGACCTCTAAAATAGGGCCCTTGAAAGGATACATTTGGGTCATTTAAAAAATCACGTTTGACAGCTGCTTTAGAAGGCGGTTTTTGGTTGAGGAACCCTCTAAAAGTGCACAAACCTTCTTCAAGGGTCCTTATACTTCCAAAAGTGGTCAAAAGTTTCATGCTTCGACTAGCCAAGTTGCAGCTCCGCTGTTGAGAGGTCGGCACAGAAACCGGCCGATAGCTTTGTGGCAAACTTCCCTCTACATCAACAAGGATTTCCCTAGACCTGTTGGCACATTGTTTGATCCTTATGACAAAAAAACTGTCGTGTCACGTGTTTGTCCAAGAACAGGGTCCACTTGTTAGTGCTGAGCATCGACCATTTCGCCAACCATGCTTATGGGGAGCCATGCTCACACGGTTCGCAATGCTTACTTTCCCCTCACTGGCCGTCTCCGAGGAGTGGTAAGAACAAACAAATGCGACCCCCAAGTCTAAGTCCAGCCAGAAGCAACCCTTCTCAAGCCATCTGTACAAAGCATAGCACTAAACTAAGATTTGTGCAGCCGCCCAACAACTAAAACACATGCCAAGAACAGTAAATATACAGTAATTCTCTGTCTGGAGCTATGGGGCACCCCGTAAGAATAACCATCATGAGTCGATACAAGTGCGGAATTAGACCGTTAAGACCCAGAGACCCCCAACTTCAAACCCTAAACCTCGCGAACGGAGGGCTTTGCGCTCCAAAGATGCCGTTAAGGCGGCATACTGTCATTCCTAGCGTGCTCGGCAGCTTGACACATCACAACTACCTCAGCTTTTGCCAAACTGAAAACAACATGCTCAGATTCTGGTCTATCTTTGCCGAGCCTCAAACTGGGTCTGTATCAATATAGTGGGACCCCCCCGAATGTCTAGTTGTCCTTGTGAGTTGCCTTTAAAGGAGTTAACCACTTACTCTTTCCAGTAGGGGGGCGCGCCCGTTCTTTGCGAGAAACAAGTATCTACGGGCCCTTCCATAGCCCAAAGCGGTCTTTTTAGACTGATTGGCCAGCGTCTTTTTGGACTAGCTGACTAATTACCACATTTTTTAGGCAAACTGACTGATTGCAAATAATGACCCGAAAGCGGGTATCATCGGTCGAGGCAAAGGCGCTGAGAAGAGATACCAGGAGCCCAAGGCATAGGCCATGTAGACCAAGAGCAGGGCAAAGGGCTCCTGGGACCGAAGGACATCTGAGTTTTCCTGGCCTCTTGGTTGCCTGGCGTCCTGAGGTCCTGGCTTCTTGATGGCTTCGTGTTGGCTTCTCATCAAAACAGTTCAACCAAAAACGGGCTGGGCCCCCAATTGTTGGACATATCCACTGTACATGGTTGAGCGCCACTAACATACTATGTACTCACTATTCATCACCATGCTGGTTTAAGGTCGGCAAAGCCTCGTCATTCTTGAGCCCTTGCAAACAACTGAGCCCAACATCAAACATGACCCAACTACTCATGCCCATCCCTACAACTCCCTTCCTGCTGGCTTGGCCACAATCCGTTCAAGCTGGTTCCCTGGTTTCCCCCAAAGCCATGAGTTTGACAGCCCCAATGAAAGCCTCACCGCATTGGCTCCAAAGGTCCACTTGGAACCACCAGCTTGAATAGTACGTGGCCACAGGAAACCGAAGGACAACCACCTATTTTGAGGGGAAGTTCCGCACAAGACCAGCCTATGTTGAATTGTTGTTGTGTATGTTGGGCAGGCATGCCGGGGCAGAACACTGCAAAGGTTGTGGCCCAACCTCAGTATCCCAACTACCGAGTAGGTCAGTCTGCCCATCCATCTATCAGTCCACGCGTCCTTTCCTCCGTCACTCTCTCACTTGGTCCACCCGTATGTCCGTCCTTCTATCAGTAGTCAGTGAACCAGCCAATCGCTCAATCAATGCCAATTTTGTGGTTGAATCATAATCCATTGGCTTGAAATAATGGAACCCTATGAAAGGAACTCTGATCATGCGTGACATCCTTCCCCCTGCCCGAATTTGAGAGGTCACCAAACATTTGCTAGTCACCTGATCTCCACCCGTTGGCAATCATTTATGGGCACCTCATCCCTCAGCTGCCGCGTACACAACAAAGGGGTCCAATGCTCGTGAACAATGCTTGTTTGCTCATTGGCGTGTGATACTACTGACATGCTTATCAAGGGTTGTGTGGTCCTCGCTGTACTTTATGTTACGCAGGCGAAATCCAGCGCAACACTATTTGGCGTTCACCTCCAGCTGCCGTCAGGAAAACACCACTCGAGCCTGATCGAATGATGACAAGCTTGGTTGTGACCCCAAAATCCCTTGGTTGCTCTGGTCTCGTTCTGGTTTCCATCAAAACACCTGTCAAACCCGCGGAACGCGGCAAGCGCTGGCTCCGCCGGAACCGAACACTTCGCCGAGGCGCCCAAACCTCGGTGATCACGGGGCAGAGGCGACGGCTGCTGAGCAGCGCCAGGCCAGTGGTCATGCCCTGCACACCGCGGTAGAGGAACACGTCCATGACCTTAGAGATACATACTCGCCTACAGACTAACATCGACCCCCAAAAACACCACCAGGGAATCTCCTTTTGGGGAACCCGCCTGAGGTTAATTGTGGGGGAGTAGGTGTGAAACTCAGCGGTTGGACCCGTGGGGATCTACGTGCAACCATGTGGGAAGGAATAAGGGCCCCTTTTTGGATGCCCATTAAAAGGGGTTCCCACCCGTTTTGAGTCGCGCCGAGTGTTTGTGTGCGCCTTTTGAGGGTACCCTTTTCCGGTTTGGTTTTAAAGTCAACCCAAAAGGAATGCCTCCTCCCCTTTTGCATTTCCCTTGAAGCCAGGAAAAGCGGGGCACGTTAAAACACGATTGAGTAATAGGCTCATAGGAGTAGACTACTAAGTAAGTGTTTCGCCCTTGTACTACAGACCGGTTCCCTTGGGGTTTGGCCGCAAAGGCCGCGGAAGACTCGCTGCCGAGTGGCGCTGGTGCTGAAGTGGTGCCACATGCGCGCCAAGCAGCTGGCGCGCTCTGGGCCCTGGCGGGTGCCTCCAGGCGAACGGCTAGGGATCTTAGACTCCCACCTGAAGATCTATTGGAACCCAAAAGGGAACACCTGAAATGGAACAAGGAGATTCCTGAGAATCATGGCTTCAGGGCTCCATGTTTATCAGAGCAACATGAAACACTTCTCTCTCAAGCAAAAGTGACCTTTTGGTGGGTATGCCACATGCCTCAGCGTTTGCCCTCAACCAAAAACAATCTGTTTGATTATGGTCTGTGTTTTTTGATTCTAAAAATGCAACATTTATTAAACAGCTGCCAGTTACACTCCTGCAGATTCACATGGAACCCTTGGAACCCAACAAAACCGATCGGTTTGAGAGATGCCTCCGTTTGGGGCAGCCCCTTTTGGGTTGCATGTTGGTCACTGGGGAGTAGTTAGTCCCCATGGGTTTCGGTCCACCCAGGGGGTCTTTTAGCCACCTTTGGTGGAAAAATGATCGACCCTTGTAGCGAAGGATTCCTGTTTGAGGGGGTCGCCAAGTTTCTCACAAAAGGTGGCAAAAAGACCCCCCTGGGTCCACCAACGAGTCTCACATTGAAAATCACACGCAAAACTGTCGCGTTTCTTAAGGGCAACGCGCGTGTTGTAGAGAAGGTTACTCCGCATCTTAAACCTCTGATTGCGTTGCCAATCATGGAGACACCATGGTAGTGTCAAGACATTTTTCCCAGAATGCCGCAATGTGGCTGCGGACTGCGTTACGAGAGGAGTATTGGTGACAGCCTGCAGATGGGCAATCTCCACTTTCTCACAATGTACAAAAGCATGACCCCAAAATGCTGCAAGGATAATTGTTTACCCTCTTGGTTAGCCGCAACAATGTCCACACCCTTTCCTTTCCCCCCAGAATCCTGCAAGTGAAAGAGCACATCCTGGGCGGTCAACTTTCGCACTGGCATGGCGCGGGCTGTGGCCCCCTTCTCTCCATATATTTTCTCTTTGTGTGGGTCAGGGAGAGGGCCGAGGTCAATTGGGCGCCAAAAACGTCCGCCTCCGGCTTGGCTGCTGAGACGGCGGAACTTCATTGCCGGATTCCCAAAGTAGCTCCTGAGGCGGGTACCCCGCCTTACAGGCTGAGCCATCCCTCATCTTACGGGGAGTGGGGGTCCTAATTCCATTGAAGCCAACCTGCAAGGGAACATGGAATGGAAATCCAAACGAGGGCTAGGATGTTCTGCGTGAGTTGTCGTGGTGCGCCCATTTTGTTTGACTATCATTTGTTTGGTTTCCACACGTTTAAACAAACTTGGCCCAAACCTTTCCTGTTGCCGGGTCATTTCCCAAACTGAAGTGGCGGGGAAAAAGGGCTGAGTTTGTTGGTACATCATTTTACAGGGATTTCCCCTGCAAGGCATTGAACAAAAGGACAGGTGTCTGGATTCTTTTGGTCACTTCATGGGAAGGCGCCCTCCTTCGCCCTCAATCGAAAGGCCTTCTGAACTGAGTGCTAAATAACCGGGGGAGGTGTCAACCTGAGCCCCGTTTCAAGGGACCCCGGCACACAATTTAGACCAGGCCAAACCGGATTCTGCCGGAAAGAAGCCCAGAAGGAAGAACATTTAAATAAATGAGTTTCCTGTTGCACACCCGGTGAACAGTTCCAGTTTAGGTTTGTGCGCTTAGCACGAGCATCAATCACCGTGGTTTGTATCTGACTCTTGAAGCAGCGGCTTGTGGAATCCAGAGTACACACACCAAACCAAGATGGACTTCTCCCACCTGAGATGAGCAAAGGACCCGGGACGGGTATATAACATGGCAATTGCAGGCAACCACATACAACAAAGTGTTCGGACCCATGACTAAAAGTAGACCACACTGATAATGCAAGAGATCAAACAGCTCAGCTTGCCTCTCCTGTGTTGCTGGGTCTTAACTATGAACAAAGCAAGCTCAGCATGCAGCATGAGGATTGACATTCCGAATGCTCGCATCCCTTCATCTTCGTCTCAAGCTTGATCTGCTGAATTGACTCCATGGGCTGCATATAAAGTAGGCGATTTCTCATAATTCACAGACCTGACATCAGGAACCCCAATCAGAACAGACCATTCATGAGTAATCCGCCGACCCCATGCCTGGTCCAGAATGGACCATGCTTTCGGCATGGGGGCGGTGTGTTCTGTGTTGCTTTTGTTGATATGCTTTCTATAAGTTTAATGTGAATATGATTATGTAGATATATATATATATATATAACCTATATGTCCCTTGGGGCGGCCCTTGGGGCTGGTTTCTACGTCGGCTGGATTTCTGGATTTCTAGATTTCTGGATCTCTGGATCTCTGGATTTCTGGATCTCTGGATTTCTGGATTTCCCCCCCCTCTCCCCCCCCCCTCCCCCAAAAAATGGTAAAAGTAGGGGGCCTGGGGGGTGGCCTGTTGATGGTTGCCTGTTCTGGTTTTTATGTTCATCTCAAATCTGTGTTCCCCCTTATTCGTTTTTAATAGAGGGTTTTTGGGGAGCTTATTTATCGTTTTCGTTAAGGTAATCATTTGGGTAAATTGTCGCCTTGTTCATTGTTGGGCTGGGGGCAGACATTTTTTTCATTTGAAAGAGGTAGCCCTTTTAGTAGTTATCAAGTTCTGGGGTGTTGGTGGTGTGTTTGCTTTTGGGTCGCTCGTCCCTTTAATTCGGTCGTTTGCCACCACGCCACGTCTTCATCCTCTACTTCATTGTTTCAGCCAGACACTCAGTGTGTCGTTTGCTCTGAACATCTTCCAGTATCAGACATATGTTTGGAGAGCCAGTGAAAGAATGGTGTTGAGAGGGGTAAGCAGTCTTCAAAGCTTGACTTGTCGCCACGTTATTTACTTCAACAACTTGATGTTTGAGATTGCGTCCAGTTGGACTTTGCCTGTCGTCCATCAAACAGCCATTTCTCATCAATCGTGCCCTCACTCTGCCCTGCTTTGCTTCAAACCCTTCGGTCTGAACAATGGCACCCAAGAGCACTCAACCTTCTTCGGCTTCGGGGTACGCAAACGCAACGGACGAGAGCCAGCCCGCTCAGAACCAGAATTTCGTTGAGATGATGATGGCTCAGCTTTCTGTTCAGGCTTTTGCTTCCGATGTTGTGGCATCATCCACAGATGACCTCAAGAACCTTCTCCCGTCGCTCATTGCCAAGATGGAGGAGTATGAATCAAAGTGCAAGTCCGTCAGCGTCGAAGTGAAGCAGCGTGAGAAGGAGTCCAACCGTGCCGTTGCCAAGGCCAAGGCCGTCCAGAGGAAGGAGGAGCAGAAGATTGCGAAGGCCACCCTACGCAATGCTCCATTGACCCTATCCATCAGTTTGAAGGACAAACACTTTGATGTCACGACTTCTGGCTCTGACACAGTGGGGGAACTTCGTCGTCAGATCGCCTTGACCTTCTTCAACCTCGGATATGGCAAGATTAAGAAGACGCTGATTTCCCAGATGATGCTCTTCTTCAATGGCGAGGAGTTGCACACTCGTCCGAGGGCAACGCTTCACAAGTTGAACTTGGCTACTGGTTGCAATCTTCAAGCCACCATGGGCATGAACAACCCGACAGGTGCTGACATCATTGACCAAGCAGTGGCCGAAGCGGATGATGATGAAGATGAAGATGAAGAGAGTGATAGTGAGGAAGAGCAGTGAGCCGTAGACACATGTCGAGCTTCCAGCATCTTACACGAGTAGCTTGGTAAAATAAACATACACTCCCACACATATGTCCATCTAACAACACAATTACAGCTGTGTTGTGGAGTTCGAGCGAAGTGTGTGGTAGATGCTGTGGTTGTGTGAGACTACAAGCATAGGACACGCGCCCGTCCAAAAATAGTTCGAGCATAGCACCAGTTGTCAGAACAATCGCTGTGAAGTTTGCTTGACAAGTCATGCACCTTGTCGGATTGTGTGAACAACGGCCTTTTCATTAACCAGACCTGTTGCTCAATTCAATGTAGGGATTGCTTGTGCCTTCCTGTCCTTTCTACAATGCCAAGCATAGTCTTCATAGATTACGGCGTGGAAACTTTACAGCTGAAGCCCTTCTACCTTGATGAAGACAATGTTCTCATTGTCAAAACTTCACAGCCTTGGACACCGAACAACAGCGACTTGGAGAGGATGACAATCAAGCAGTTGAAGTCGTTGATGAGCGTTCAGGCATCCACTACAATCAGAAGCGACTTCAGAAAGCCTGACTTGATTGCGACCCTGATTTCAACGTGGCAGAGCACCATGAAGGAGATGGAGGAGAAGGCTTCTGTGAGTATGACCCCACCGAGTGATGGTGATGGTAATGGTGGACAGCAAGACGATGTTGATGAACATCGTGAACCTTCAGACGGTCATGAAGGTGATGGTGGAGGGTCGGATGATGACACACCAGATGAAGACCCAGAAGACTTCAGCGATGACAGTGATGCAGTGCCCCAGTCTGTCATTAGGGTCTTCGTGGATGACAGCTTGGTGAACACCAGACATCCTAGACGAGCCTATCCAAGCTTCAATGTCAAGAGAACGTGGCCTGTGCGATGCCTGAAGTATGTCCTGATGGGGAAGTATGGCATCACCCCCAACAACCAGAGACTGGTGAAAATCAGTGGTGAGGAGCTCCTTGAACAACAAAGCTTTCACGAGAACAATGTCTATGACCAGCAGACCTTGAGGCTACTGGTTCGTGCCAGAGGTGGAGTTTTGAGGAGACAACAGCCAGCAACTAAGACAGAGGCACTAAACGCAGTGAAGAAGAAGATTGAGAAGAATTACAAGAGCGGGACCACTGACCAGCAGGTTGACGATGACACCTTGCCACTTTCCTTCAAGTCCTACATGGTTGAATACAACCAGAAGCTATCGGACTTCCAGATGATGAAGTCCACCATTGGCGACAACTTTGTGGCAACGTGCTTGAGACAGTTGAGCTCAGAGAAGTTGAGGGTCTTGCAAACCATTTTCACGAATGTCCCAGGCAAGAAGAAGTTGTCGAACGAGGAAAGAGCGGAAAGAGCTCTCCCCGTGCTTTTTCCAGCACTCAACACTCTCAACAGTTGTCAACTCAAACTGTCAGAGATGGAGAGCGACTCTGCGGTGAAGCTTCTTCACGTTTTTGTTGACGAATTCCATAGCTTCAGTCAGCAGACGGGTGTTCTCCAGTTGGACGGGGCACTCTTTCTGAAAAAGGTAGAGGCTGTGTTGGACAACCGTGAGGGCGTCGCTGGTGATGCCTCAGAAGCGGTGGCGTCCAATTGTAGCATCCAGTAGAAGACTTGCTGTTTTGCGATTTGACTTTGGATGAATGCGTAAGACATCCATCAGAAACCAGACTTTGCTCTTGGAAGAAGGGTAAAACAAAATGTGAGGACAGCGCGACCGCAGAGGTTGGAAGACACCCCAAAAATATGTGTGATGATTACCCCTCAGTCAGGGTAAGGTCTACCCCGAAATCTGGGCAAGGGTAAGGTTTATACTGAGAGAAGGGTAAGGTCTACCCCAAAAACGGGGTAAGGGGTACCCCAAAGCTGGGGTAAGGGGTAAGGGCTACCCCAAAATCGGGGTAATGGGGTAAGGTTTACCCCAAAATCGGGGTACACCACCACCACCAACACCACCACCACCCCCTTTTCTCCCACCGCTCCCCACATTTGCTCTGTCCTGAGGTTGAGACGTCATTCAGAACATCGCCTTCAACACTGTCGTCTATGAGGTTTTGGTTGAGGGAGCGGGTAGGGATTGTGGGTCTTTTGCTTTTGTTGTTATCCCAATCCCACCAAAACAAGGACCAAATCTCCCATTTCTCAACTCCCCCAAAACCAACAAACACATAAACTTCAATATGTTCAGTTTCAACCTCATCCCCAAACCCACATTTCCAGTTTCAAACCCAATCCCAAACCCAATATACTTATAAGACAAGAGAAACGAGAATATCTCAAAATATCAGTATTGATATTTGCATTTTTCAAATCAAGGGAAATAACACTAAAACCCAAATCCCGAGCAACCCGACCAACCGAGCCTGTCCCTGAAAATAATTCTAATAATTTCATATTATTAGAACTATCTAGATAA